TACAATGCTGTTTCATAGCATTTTATCCACAGTGAAACTTCTTTTAAAGTTGGAGTCAAGCCTCAAACCCTGCTTCTATTTTATCAGCTAAGCTTAAAATATTGTCGTTTCAGCAATGTTCAGTTTCTTTTCCAGGGATGGATTCTATTATGAGAAAATACTTTCTTTGCTCATCCATAAGAAATACTTCTTCATTCATATTTCATCATGTGATTGCTGCAATGCGGTCATTTTCAGGTTCTACTTCTAAGTCTGTCAGTAGTTCTTTTGCTCTTTCTACCACATCTGTAGGTTAACTTCCTCTGCTCAAATATTGAACCCCTTAAAGTCATCTTTAAGAAGTTGGGCCCTCTCTGGTGTTACAGAGTGTAAGGATGTAGCACTGCAAGTTAGCCGCAGCCACTTCAGTGTGAGTTCCATCCCCAGCCCTGGAGTTGATCCACATGGCATGGTGGACCTCTCGTAACCTGCCTGCTGCTCCTCTCAGCATGTACTTCATTGATCTGCTTGTTCTGCTTCCCACTCTGTCTCTGGTGAATCCTCTCATAGCCCATGCACCTCTGACCTGTACCCCAGTTCTGTATGCATAAATTAATAAATCTTAAAAAAAGTTGAGGGTTGGAATCAACTTCCTCCAAACTTCCATTAATTTGAATATTACTTCCTCCCATGAATTATTTTATTCTTGGTAGCATCTAGAAAGGTGGATTCTTTTGGGAAGGTTTTCAGTTGCTTTTGCCACACATATATCAGAAGTATCATTGACTATAGCACTGTAGCCTTATGAAATTTATGCCTTCAATAAAACTTGAAAGTTAAACTACTCCTCGGTGCATGGGCTACAGAATAGGTATTATGTTAGCAGGTATGAAAGTAACATTAATCTTGCACATCTCCACCAGAGTTCTTGGGTGGCAATGCCAAGCATGACCAAGGTGCATTGTCAGTGAGTAGTGATATTTTTAAAGAAATCTTTCTTTGAGCAGATGTATATAATAAACTATGTTATAAACAGATGTGCTGTCATGCAGGCTTTGTTCTGTTTATAGAGCACAGACAAGGTAGATTTAGCATAATGTGTAAGAGCCTAGGATTTTTGCAGTGGTGAATGAATATGACTTTAACTGAAAGTCATCAGTTGCATTAACTAGCCCTAATAGGAGTCCTTTGAATAAGTCTGTCCTTTGAAGCCAGGCATCAACCTCAATAGCTATGAAAGACTTAGATGGCATCTTCTTCCACCACAAGGCTGTTTTGTGTCCATGTAAACTATTTAGTGTAGCCACTGTCATCAATTTTCTTGGCTAGATCTTTTAGCTAACTTGCAGAAGCTTCTATCAGCACTTGTTGCTTTTCCTTGCACTTGGTATTATGGAGAGAGCTTTTTCCTTAAGCCTCATGAATCAGTCATGAATTCAGCTGGTTCTGCAGCTTCCTCCCCTCACCCAGCTTTTTATAAAATTGAAGAGTCATGGTCTTACTCTGGATTGGACTTTGGCTTAAAGGGATGGTGTGATTAATTTGATCTATCCAGACCACTAAAATTCCATCTGAGCGATAAGACTCTTGCTTTCTTATTATTTGTGTTCACTTAAATGGCATCTCCAATCGCCTTCCAGAACTATTCCTTTGCATTCACAATTTGGCTAACTATTTGGTGCAAAAGACCTGGCTTTCAGCATGTCTTGACTCCTGATTTTCCAGTCTCATGAAGTTTAATAATTTTTAGATTTTACTTTAAAGTGAACAATATGGGACTCTCCATTTGATTTGAACACTTAGAGGCTGCCATAGTGTTCTGTAGTGACCTAATTTCAATATTGTGTCTCAAGAAATAGGAAGGCTCACGGGAGAGGGAGAGACAACAACAGCCTGTTGGTGAGACAAGACACACTCAACACAAGTTCACTGTCTTTTACAGGTATAGTCCATGGCATCCCAAAACAATTACAACAGTAGCATCAAAGATCACTAATCACTGTAACAGATATAGTAATAATGAGAAAGCTTGAACTATTAGGAGAATTATCAGAATGACAGACACACAGAAGCACATGCTATTGGAGTTAGACTTGCTTGATGCAGGGTTGCTACAAGCCTTCAGTTAAAAAAAAATACTGTTTTGAAGCATAATAAAACAAGGAATGTTAGACATTTACTATGGGCATTGATTATAAGAACTTACAAAGAGTAGGCTCCTGATACTATGATTCCATAAAATACCTTTCATTCTCCACATGCATGAGAGAATCCATCTGCTATGCACCTAAGTGTTGCAAGACTAGGGTCTGGTTAACGTGCATAACTAGGGCATCTACACTATTGCACCCCTGTAAAAGAATACTGTTGATAAAATACTGTGCATTTGATTCATGATGGGACACAGGGAGCAGAGTTAAAAGCAAGTTACATGGGCCCTCTCTGGTGGCGCAGCAGGTCAAAGCACAGCACTACGAAGCTGGCTGTAACCACTTCAGCTCAAGTTTGATCCTTAGCCAGGAAGGGAACCCACATGGCTTAGCAGAACTCTTCCTGTCTCGCCCACTGCTCCCCTCAGCAATGTACTTGTGTTTCGCCCACTGCTCCCCACAGCAGTGTACTTGTCAGTATGCCTATTCTGCTCCCCACTCTGTCTCTGGTGAATCCTCTCTTTGCCCCTCACCTCTGGCCTGTACCTCATTTCTACATGCATAACTAAATCTTTATTTTTTTTAAAGCAAGTTATACAGATAATTGCAAAACAATGGTGTAATGTTTTTCAGCTTCAGCGAGAACCAAGGCCTTTTCCAAAGCTCAAAATCCTTCGAAAAGTTGAGACGATTGATGACTTCAAAGCTGAAGACTTTGAGATAGAAGGGTACAGTCCTCATCCTTCTATTAAAATGGAAATGGCTGTATAGGTGCATTTAAAGGAGTTATTTGAAGGATATTGTCAGTCTTTAACTGATGCCCAGATGAAACTTCTTTTTGCTCTAAAGGAAGAAGGAACTAAGTATAAAAAAAAAATCTCTTGGTGATCAATCAGTTTATTTATAAACTATTACGGATGTTGTCAGTGGGAAATAAATTGCTGGTTCTTAGCAGTAAAAGGCCTTGATCTTGATTAACTCTGAGAATATATGAAAATGCTAAGATTATGAATATGGTCAGAAGGTAAAAACTTAATGCTCTTAACAAAAACATGTACATGCATTTCAATCCCATTTTTATGCAGGTCAGTCAGTGAATTTCAAGAATTATATAAGCTATTCATTCAAATTTGAACGAGCTGAATAAGCACCATGAGTCATAAAGATAATGTATAATGTGGTTATGAACATCTGAAGTTATTTGTTTTATATATTACTATAATAAAGTTTTCTGCATTTATCTGTGATGTTTTTCCTGTATTGTCTTTTCTGCTCAGTTTCTGACTAAAATAAATTAACGGAATCATCCTAAATTAACATGTTGTGTTCTCATTTGGATCTGCTGTAAAGGTGAGAGTATGTTGGGAATGCTGACTAAACTAAACTACACTCTGCCCTATTTTTCTGTGGTTCCTCTAAGTCTAGTTGCATTTTATCACTAAATAGAGTGATCATCTAGGATAAAGTTTTTAAAGGTTATAAAAACTGAAGTATCATTTTTCCTTATAATTAGATTCAATGTGGTATGAATTCTCTAATACATTGGGCTGAACAAGAAGAGTTGCTAAACTAATTCAGGGCCAGTCTGTGAAGTCTTTTTACCTTTGTTGTAAACCAGATACCCCTTTGTGCTAAAGAACTATTTTTATTCTGCTAATTTATTACAAATACTAAATATCAAATAAGCAAATTTTCCCAACAAATTATGCAATATTCAGCTTATATTCAAAGTATAGTTTAATGTCTATAGCAGCAATTGAAAGAAATTTTGTAAGAAAATCTTTCTAGACTGGGTTATTTAAGTCTAGATTTGTTTAACAATTAAATAGAGAATGTGTTTGATTAAAGAATCAAGTAATAATGACTACTGAGTTGATTCCTAAGGTTGATATACATTAACAACTGATTTGTTTGTACTAGGATGATCCCTCCCCAACCCCCATAATAAAACCATACCCAAGAATTTTTAAGCCTTTCACTAAAAAAGAATGCGTTAGGACTGAGCACTTAATTTCTTTGAGCAGCAATGAGTTTCTTCCAGACTTCACCATCTGGATATTGGTGCTTCTTTACAGATTCTTCTTTCATTTCTGTTGAATAACCAGCATCCTATCAAAGACAAAAGAGTTATGTTAATAAGTGTAAGTACACTTTATGTATTTCCATTGCCCTGAGAAATGCTTTTAAATCTTAAGCCAGATGCAAGTTGAATGAAAATTTCAGATTATTTGAAATGGGAGACGGGTAGACTTTGTTTGTTACTTCCCAGTGACCAATTAAACTGCCTTTGATAACCCACACTTTTAAAATTACCATTTTTTTTTTTAAGATTTATTTATGCATAGAAGGGCTGGGATGCATAAAAGTGTTGGGGGGATGAGGAGGGCAGTGATTCAAACTCTTATGAACATGAGCCCTAATCTTTTGGGGCAGGAAATGGCGCATTTTTGTTTGTTTTATTGAGATACAGTTGACCCAGCAGTTGTAGGGTAAATGCAGTTACCATGCTTTTTATGCCCTCCCACCATTATCTATGACCATCACCTGTGGTCTTCCACAGGGCACATGCATATGTAGATGGGAACACCTGTGCTGTGCTGTGAGGGGCTATAAGGACAATGTGGCCAGCCACATGGAGGAAGAGACAGTCAGAAAAATACAGAGAAACCTGGTCTGCCCAGTTCATCATTAAAGACCTGTAAAAACTTATCAGGGCCCTCCCTGGTGGCACAACTGGTTAGGACGCAGCATTGCAAGCTGGCCACAGCCGCCTCAGTGCAAGTTTGATCCCTGGCCCCAGAGGTGATCCACATGGCATGACAGTCCTCTCCTGTTCTCCCACTGCTCCTCTCAGCAGTGTACTTTGTTAATCTGCCTGTTCTGCTCCCCACTCTGTGGTGAATCCTGTCACCGCCCCTATACCTCTGGCCCAGTTCTGTATGCATAAATAGATAAATCTTTTTTAAAAAAACTGAAGACTCCCAAAATTAATCTCTGTTAGTCTGCAATAAGTGAAGATGATCTCAGCCTCGGGTGGTTGCAAAACAGCTATATAGAGTATACAGCATAATAATTTGAGTAAGAAGCCCCGATCTCTTGAACATGATGAGGATAAATGACCAAAATAGCACAGTTGTAGTAGAAGCCTTTCCATTTCCTAACTTGCTAGGTGGTGCCAGGGTTTTCTTGTCTTATTCTCACAGAGTGCAATTTTTACGGTCTCAGCTGTCGAGGAGGAATAGTTAACATTATAGAAGCATCACCAGTGGCAATTTAACCCTCTAACCCTGACCTTCAGGCTTTGGGAATTTGACTTTGGCTAGAGGGCCATTTGTTTCTAAATACTGAAAATAAACAGGAGTCCAAGCTTCATGCTATATGGTCTGGCTCCCAAGAACAAGTAAAGCAGGGACTAGCAATGCTTACTCTGTGAGGCCTTGTAGCCGAACTCACCTTAGGAGGCATGTAGCAAGCCTTCTTGATTAGCACAGGATACTTGAAGTGTTCATGCAGGTGGTCAACATACTCACACATTCTGGAAGAAAGGAATCAGAATAAGCAATAAATCCTTAGCTAACGTGCTGGTCAAGCAGAAGGGGCAAGTACACTGAAGGGAGGGTTAAGAGTTGTCTGATAAGCATGTGTGTCTGAAAATCTAATAACCTCTGAGCCTCAGGAAAGCAATTTGGGTGCTTGAATGAAATCTCTTAACTTTAAAAGTATATGATCTGAAAGGGGATCATTTCAGATTCCATAAATACCTGGCATTATTTACAAGCCTTTAACTACAAGTTAAAAATAGACTAAAATCATCAAGTGAGGTCCCTTTCAGCTAGATACAATTCAGAAGAGCACTGGTTTTATGACTAACCAATCTGTGTTTAAATTTGGTATCAGCCACTTTCTTGTTTTGTAACTTCAAACAAGAGACCTACCTCTACTGCCTAACTTCAGTCATGGGGAATGACCAGCTATGATGGGCAGCCATGTGCCCAGTGCTGGAGTTACACAAAGGAACTGGCAAGAGAAGGCCTATGGTTTCCGTGGACATAGACTAAATCATGGGCCATAGTATGTGCTACATGTGAACTATAAACCAGCTACTAGTGAAGAACCATCTTTGTGGAGAGGACACTTGGGCCTTGAAGAACAAACATGCAGGTGTTCACCGAGAACTACAAAGCAGAGGTGCTGTGTTGAGGCAGGACGGTGTCTGCCTGATGGCTTGAACAGTGGCAGTCCCCAGCAGTGAGGTCTGCTGGCTAGGGCATGGCCTGAGGCACTTCACCCATTCCGGAGGGTCACAATGTACATGCTCAGGACTGAAAATGAACTCTCCCGAGCTAAAGCTTTGTGCCATATGGTCTAGTTTTTTCTCATTAAGAGCTGTAGGAACAGAAATGGAAGGGTGTAAAATATATAAAGTACTTGGGCTCTTTTTCACTTCCTGCCACTAGCCTCTATAGCCAACACCTGCAACCTTGCTTTCCTCCCAGGTTTGTTAGCCCACACATGATACCATAGTGATGTAAAAAGTCCTTGGGACTGTGGGCACCAGGCATATACATCGATGATTACGGACAGCTGGGCTGAAAGGCTGGCAATCATGGGCTTGGCATATGTACACCTCGGACAAGAGAAGCAAGGGATACAAGGGGAGATTTTATGGGAGTACCAGGCCTAGGGGCTGCCTCCCTGCCTGCTGGTGTACCTCTCTCTGGCCCTCTGCTTCAGCACTAAAGGCCTAGCAAATCTACTAAGGTTCCTAAATTTTTCCATCTGCCTGGATCAACAATGAACCTGCCCAGTCTGGGATGGTTGCACAACAGAGGGCACAGAAGCCAACAGCCTAGGATCGTTAACTTTTTATAGTTCAGAATATTTCAGGCACACAAAAAGGCAGCATCTGCCTACTCACTACCCAGCCTGAGACAGAAATTATAAGTGAGGCCACCTATACATCCTTTTAGTGCCATTTTCTCTCTCACAATCCTGAATTTGGTGTTTGTTTTTCCATGGATGTGTGTATACTTTCACAATATACTTCTAGTGAATATTCCCTGATACCACGCTTCATTCTAAGAGGAAAGAAAGTTATAACAAAGCTGTATGTGTGCATGTGACTGAGGGTATTGTTCTAATTTAAAGTTCACCTGGGACATGATGAGAAATAAGCTGTAATGAAATGAAGAAGACTCCAGTGTTAGAGACTGAACAGAAGCAGAGTGTACACAGGATGGAAGCTGAGCTCATAGGGGGCCCTCCCTGTAGGTACAACAGGTTAAAGCACTGTGAATCTATCCACAGCCTCTGCACTATGAATTTCATCCCTAGCAGGGAGGTGACCCACATTGCATGGCAAGCCTCTCCTGGCTCGCCTGCTGCTCCCCTTAGCAGTATATTTCAGTGTATCTGCCTGTTCTGTCCCCACTGTCTGGTGAATTCTCTCACCCTCTACACCTCTGGCCTGTACCCTAGTTCTTATATGCATAAATAAATAAATCTTTAAAAAAAGAAAGAAAGTCAAAGGGGCTGGTGGAGGAAGGACTCATGGTTTCAGTTTGGATGCTAACTCTTAATCCCACCTCCAAGAACTCAGAAGACAATGTGAGTCAGCTACCAAGAACTTACCCCTCTAAAAGAAAAAGGACTCTGGGCCCTCCCTGGTGGTGCAGCGGGTTAAAGCACAGCACTGGGAATCTGAAGCCGCTTCCGCATGAGTTCGATTCCCGCCTGCCGCCTGCCCCGGAGGTGACCACATGGCGTGGCAGACCTCTCCTGACCTGCCTGCTGCTCCCCTCAGCAGTGTACTTCGTCGATCTGCCTGTTCTGCTCCCCACTCTGTCCCTGGTGAAGCCTCTCGCCGCCCCTGAGCCTCTGGCCTGTACCCCAGTTCTGTATGCACAAATAAATAAATCTTTTAAAAAAAAAAAAAGAAAAAGAAAAAGGACTCTGATCTCTAGTCGACTCCTTGTTGCTGTTCCATATGAAATGGTGGGAATAAAAGCAACCAGATCTTTGAATTAGAGGTTGGACTAACAGGTTTCATAGTGCCTTTGGTAATGAGAGCAGAATTTTAAAAAGTCTGGCCTGGATTGTGGTACACTGTTGGAGCTAATGACACATTACTGACCTGTTTTCAAGGCTTGTAGAAACTGATATGAAGTCAAATATAATCAGGTGCTGTACCAATTCACAGAGGCCAACTCCGCCAGCATGCGGGCAAACAGGAACTAAAATAAACACAGATTTCTATTTAATACCAAGAATAGTAAATAAAGGAATGTAGAAAAGAACATGGTGTTGCTTATTGCCCATAGGTAATTAAGTCATTCATTGTTACTTGGGAATGAAATCCCAGATGAAAATCATAGATTCCCTGATTCACTTAAGCCTAAGTGAGAATTATGAAGAAAAATCAAAATAGCAGACTCCCGAGGGGACCACATGTGTACAATGGGAATGATGGCAGGGAAGTGGACATTTGCCCTGCAGCTTCGTGGTGCCCTTACTTTCAAACTTTTTGGCCATCAGCAACACTGAGAGGTTCTCATTGACACTTCCCAGCCTGCAGCTGTCAATCTGGAGAAACTGTAGGGCTTTCGCCTGTAGTAGCTGCTTAAATATCACTCTATTGTGGCACTGGAAATAGAATTAAAATGGAACCACAGAGTCAGCCTTGGCCTTCAGGAGCATTCAATCTGGCATAAATTCTAAGTCATTCATTAGTAGCCATTAACACTGTATTTATTTCTTGCTTTCACTTGGCTTGCAGCAAGCCCTGATAGTCCAGGCAGGCACCTTCTACTCACTTCCTTACAAATCTTCCAGTGGGACAGGATGAGTCACGTAAAAGTTACCCGCTCACCATCTATTAGGAATAACTGGCATAGTGACTGCCAAGTGTGAGATGAAGCAAAGCCTCAGGATGAAATACAGTGACAGCAATGAGCAGGTGGCACAGATGACAAAACAGCGCAGGCAGAGTGGTGCTGCTCCTTTTGCTGGGAAAGCTGAGAATCTGCTCCTTCCGCACTGCTGCCCATGGGCTGGCTGCCACAGGGTTTGGCAGGCACTTGTGCTTCGTTTATAAGCAAAAAAAAAAAAAATGAGTGCAATAATGTTTACTTAATGTGGAAGCTGGCTTTCTTAAACTCATGCAGGTCACTTTGTGCTTTTACAACAGCAAGTTTAAATTACTATCTTGTGAATTTTAGATATTTTGGAAGATATATGACCACAGTCACCTGAATTATAGCAAAATACACAATTCATTGTATCTGAGTCCTGGTTCTACTGAAGTGCTGCTGTACTATGACTTGGCTTCTAACACTGAAAATTTCTCAACTCAGATGGCAAGCCTGATGTATGCGGTGTCCTCAGGTGCTGGCCAGTGTCTACCAGCCCCACTTACCTGTTCTCCCGTGGCAACACCAACCCCTAGCGGGACCAACGCCTATAAAATAGGAGGTAACCTAGTGTTATTTTTCTCGTTGACCTGAAAACCCCCTAAGCTCCCAATGTTTAAGCTCCCAATGTTTAAAAATATTTAGAGCTGAAGAAGGAAAAGTCTGATGATGAGAAGTGTGATATTATTTTTTAACTTTGTGGTATTGTAATATAATTAACATTAGTTTCGAGTGTACAACATACTTTGATATATAAATATACTGCAAAGTGATTACAGTAAGTTTAATGAACATCCATCACCACACAGCTATAATTTGTTTCCCCCTTTGATGAGCACTTCTAAGATTTCTATGGGTGGATATGCAATACAGTATTAGCTCTAGTTAGCAGGTACAGGACTTTGTCTTAAAATTGAAAGTTTGTACACCTTTTGACCACCTTCATCCATTTCCCCCACTTCCTGCTCTGGCACCCACCAATCTGTTCTCTTTTCCAGAGTTCAGGTTTTTTTTTTTTAAGACTCTACATACAGGTGAGTACTACATTATACTTTCCTTTATCTGCATTATTACATATAACAATACCCGTAAGTCATCCACATCATTACAAATGGAAGAATTTACTTCTTTTTGTGCCTAATGATATGTGTATTTATCTCCCACCCACCCCCCAATATTTTCCTTATCTATTCTGTCAAAGGACAGATGGCTGTGGCTACTGTAAATAATGCGACAGTGAATGTGGGGCTCCAGACACCTTTTTGAGACAGTGATTATGTTTCCTTTGGACAAACACCCAGATGTGGGAGGGGTTGTGTGTGTCTGTGAAGGGAAAAGCCCATGCTTGTTCTTATGCTGCCATCATCTCCCTTCCTGCTATGACTGCAGAATCTCTTCTGCATCCTGACCAGACTCCCGTCTGTACCCACCAGATGAGAGTGGCTCTCCATCATCCAGGCTGGGGCAGTAAACAGGGGGAATACATGCTGGCCTGCAGTGGTTCCTTCTGTTCACTGGCTCTGGCTCCACCCTATATAGGTCATCCCATTTCCCAAATCTGTCTATTCTTGCTTCCCGCTCCCATGTCTCCCCTCCCCCCCACTGGGAAAGCCGTCTTTCTCACTGGGAAAGCCTCCTACTGCCTACCCCCACCTCCAGTTTCTTTATGCCTACTCTTAGCCCCCCAGATCCTACATGTTGTTGCCAGTCAGATCAGCTTTACTCCCCTTCTCTCATTTACAAGTCACAGAGGCTCGCAACTTCTGAACAGGGAGACTCATAATCTGGGCCCTGTCTGTCTTTTGCCACAACCCCCTAGCATGCACCCACATTCTGCTGCATATCTCCATGGTCCTAGCCTGTTTGCAGCATCCTGCTGCCTGAGTTCATCTGTCTTCTTCCTCAGACACCTACAAGTGGGTGGCTGTCTCTATGGAAACAAAGCCTGGGAGGATCCCAGTCCAGGAGAGCCGAGGACTCCAAATAACTTCTCATCAATGGGATAAACCCTGTGAGTTCTGGTCCCTGCTGAGGCAGAACAGTGACTAGCCTACAGGCGTCCCATCCCTGCCCCAGGCCAAAGTCTAATTTAACCCCAGCCTCTCAGGTTATTATTTTGGAAGGGCTCTTCACAAGGTTTCAGCTGTGTCCTCTGCTCCTATTCCTGCTCCTGTCTCCCCCACTGCAATTCAGCTTTCCTTACAGAGTCTGTCTTATCTCCCTTAGGCGCTGCCTCCCAGCCCACACACAGCTTTTCCTCATTGACCTTCTTTCCACTATCCTCAGCTCACTGGGCCCCTATCCAGCATCCCATCTGTCTATGTTTCACAGATCTTAGACTTTTTTCTAAGGTGAGGGTGAGGAGCGCAGTTTAAATGAAGGTTTTTTGTAGCATGTCCAACATAAGTAGATCACATGTTGATTTCCTGTGAGACAGAATGGCCCAGACCCAACAACCCTACAGCCCGATAGATAGGACCCGAGTATTCAGGTAAGATGTCCTGAAAACTTGGAACCAACAATGCCTCAGAGGCAATTTTAAGTCAATTACTGCATAATGGGAGAGAGTAGAACAATTCAAAGTCACCTCAGGGAGGAAAACCTGCTCTTTCACTTCCTATAGTCCTGACCACAGGACTTGACTATAAACCAACTGTGTGGGAGGGATAGTTATCAGGTGAAAACAAAAAGGTGGGTCAGAGGTGAACGCTGACCAAGCCTGTGCAAGAAAGTGCTGCCCACCAGAGATGAGGATGAGACTCAACACCTTCTGTGCCAGAGGCAGGTCTAGCTGCATGTTCTGGTGGGCCATCACCATCAGGCACATCTCATACTCAAATCCCATGAGTTCCTGGCCTGTTTCCTCTCCCTCCAGCAGTCTTTGGTTAAATGTGGTTAATCACAGAACTTGCTCTGGTCAGAGGAAATAAAAATCTAGTGTCCCCAGTAGTTACAGCTCTAAATTAACCCATTGGATTCTGATTTTATCTTAATAATACTATAAACACAGCTAATGGGAGACTCTTCCAGAGAGACAGACCTTTCTCAGATGTTCTGAATTAGCAGCTTCTTAAACCTGTAGGAAGAGAAGTCTGCTCCCCAGTGTGGGCAGATCTGTGGAGAAAGGTGCACGCTCTAGGGGAACAGGTAGCCTTCTCCCAGGGAGGCCTGACCTTGACATTCACCAAGCAAACCTTTGAGTCACCCAGCAGAATCTACTTTTTCATTGTTAGTAAAATATTTTAATATTGGATTCTATAGGTATGGAAACCATGTCTATTACCTTCCAGGTTACTGGTAGTCTTTCAACTTTTAGCAATTTGCTTTCTCTATTAGAAGAAATAAAGGCTGTGGACTAGCTGAACTGGGTTTAAAAATGTAAGGTCTGCACACCAGTACTTGTCACAAGTTAGAATTATTCAGGGGACAAGCAAAGAAATTTTAGGATCTCTCAAGACCATATTGGAAAACAAGATAAAAACTAATAGGCAGGGGCAGGGGCAGCAGTCATTTTTATACCTTGGAAATAGCAGCATGTCCCAGAATGTCATCTGGAGAGGTGGGCTCCTCAATCCACAGTGGCTTGAACTCGACCAACTTTGACATCCACTCCACTGCCTCAGGCACATCCCAGCGCTGGTTGGCATCCATCATCTGCAAACAGAGACCCTTCCTGGTGAAGTCTGGAGAACTGGCTGCAGGGCAGTGGTTCTCAGGGAGGAAATACTGATACTTGGTGCTGGTGCTGCCAACTGCAGGGCAAGACTCCCTGGGGGAGCCTGACATTTCCTCCAGGGAAGCCCATCTCCAACCATAACAAAAGGAGCTCAAGAGCCAGCTGCACAATCTTTTGAGGAGATGCAAATCACTCATGAAGACACCCTGCTGTCCAGAAGCACCGTGAGTTGGTCACAGAAGTGTTCCCAGACTCTGGGGCCCTGACCCAATCTGTATTTAGATGCCATCCAAGTACAATGTCTTACAACATTTTCATTGTTCATTTTAGGAACCATTTTATCATGTTCTGACATATGTGCTGTCAAATCATTTATTCATTACTGCCCACTGTGTGTCTGGCACAATCGTTAATAACCCAAACTCTACCAATAACTAAGCAGTCTAGTTCACGAGGCATTTTATGTAGTTTTGTCCCAGTTAATATTTATAAGAACCCTATGAAGCTGTTCATATTAACCATTTTACAACTGAGAAAACTGACACATAGAGAAATTAAGTAACTTGCTTTCAGAAAGCCAAGTAAATAAGTTGAAGTCAAGGTCTTTCACTCTAAAGCCCTAGTTTTCTAAAGCAGGGATCCTGCCTGGAAGACAGATGCGGGGTGTGCAGAGACCAAGAATGGCCCCCTGTGTCCCAACAAAATGGAGCTTCCAGAAGTCAAACCTGTAAACATATCTGTAAGAAAATGTGCTAAGTGGAAAGTTTCTTAATGGGAGACTATGAGAGCTATAGGACAGTGCAGAATCAATTTTTATCATAGGTTATTTTGGTGAGGATGACCTCATAAGACAAGAGCAGCATGGATTCATATATAAATAACATCCAAATGTAAATAATGACCTAGTTTCTAGTGGTTCATAAAAACATGTCACTGTGACTTCCTTTTATGAAAATATTTACCAGAGATGTCTTATAAAAACATACAATCAGAGAGGGACGGTCTAGCCTTCATTGACTTCTGCCAGAGTTTCAGCAGTTCTTCAACAATGCTCCCTGAGATCCGCCTACCCAATGAACTCAGTGGCTGGATTTGTTAAGAAGGGAGAATACATGATTGGCACACCAGGACACCAATGGGAGCCGTTTACTCAGGCATGTCCCTGCTAGCAAAATGAAGCAATTCCTAACCCTGATCTTATTTAACTAGTTCTACATAACAAAAAACTGAAAAATAACAAGCCCTTCGGTTTTGGTTTTGTTTGTTTTAAGAATTTGCCTACTACAAGACCACAAAGCTGCACATCCTGTGGCATTAATTGTTAAAATTCCCAATTGCTTAGAACGAGTTGCATTTTGGCCCTGGAAAAAGGCTTCCAGCAACACCATGTCTTTGTCAATGATGCGTGAGGATATTTACCAAAACCTTCTCAGGTCCAATCATGTTTCTGATGAGGCGGCACCTACGGATGTCATCCTGGAGATCAGCACCAACTTTCACTTTAAATCTGTAAAATACATGCAGTCTGGTAGGTTAAATCTTAAATCTGTCTCCTGACTTGGCCCAGCCATCTGGATTTTCTGTGGAAGTTTCTGTTCCTGTCAGTAATTCACAGATTTTCTAGTAACCTCTTGCTCTTTCACAATCGATCTTCAGATAAATTACTAAAAACCCTGCAAATGGTTATCACTTTACTCAATGACTCTACGTAACCTTTTGACAGGAAGTTGAAGAACTGGAGAGAGTGGTTTAAATTTTTAAATAATATTAATTAAGTTTTTGCTGTTTCATGAAAAGAAGTTAAGGATGATAAAATAATACCTCCATCTGCCTAGCTCTTGAGGAGAGGGTTTCTCTTAAGCCGCACTCAGTGAGAGGTTGGCCACAGCCACCCCGATGCAGAGGAGTCAAGTCACTCAGGAACATAGCTCAGGAGCAGCAGGTCCCCTCTACATCACCATTGGCTGCCTGCAAGGAGCTCTCCTGGTTTCCCAGCCCCTGCTGAATCTACTCTCTCTGGGCTCTCTGAGGTTCTCCAGAAGCCTTTCTCCATTTCTCTGTGTCACTCTCTGTCGCCACCATGTAGAGTCAGCCTGCAGGCTCAGGTGTGCCCACTCATGCATGCCCACATCTTACTCCAGGTGTCCACAGTCAGGCATGTGTACCCCAAGTCCATAGTGCTAAGCACCTCCTGCACCCATGGCTGCAGGTGATAGCCACAGAGGCCAGTGCCATAAAAGCCTATTTCACTTGTTTTGTACCAACTATTTTTCAGAGCTTGGCCTGACACTCAGCTGTGGTTTTAGTTCTCTGAAGAGTGTGGCGATCTTGAGTAGCACTGCCACACAGTGGGGACAGTGCCTCAGTGGGAACATCATCCTGCTCCTGAGTCCCTCTCTGTCTGGCACACCCAACACCAAGGCTTCTGCTCCAGATAGAGCCTGGGATTTTGTGAAGTCCCCCCTCTGCTTTCCACAATGTTCACTCTGTGCTAACAAAAGCCACAGGAGGCTGTACACTCTCTGCTCAAGTATCCCCTGCCTCTCTCTCCCAGCACTAAATACACTGAAGAAAACATTTCTTATCTCAGGTGAGGCCTTCAGCTAACTACAGCCTCTGCATATTAGGTTCATTTTGCTGGGAGTGAGAAGGGGCTTAATCTCTTCTCAACCTCTGTTCCACAGATATGGCCTCTCCAGTCTTTCATAGCTACTTAGAGGGAAGACCCAGAACTTACTAAGCACCTGCTCTGAATCTCAACTATGCCGGTACTTTTCAAATACAACAATTTTGAGGAGAACTAGGAGTTAATATTATTTCTATTTTCTAGAGAGAAAATGAGGTTCAGAGAGGCTGATTGATTTGCCCATGAACACACAGCAAGTACGTACAGAGATGAAAGGAAAAGCCAAGTTTTTATCCAAATCATCACGTCCCCAAGGTTTCTTTCCACTGCTTCATTCTGCCTCCTTCAAGTTCTCATTCCCCAACTTTTATTTAGCCTAGGTATTAACAAGAATTCAGCGCCTCTCAGACGTTAGTGGGCATCCACAAAAATTAGGGATCTTGTTAAAATGCTGATTCAAGGCCCTCCCTAGTGGCACAGTGGGTTAAAGCACAGCACTAATACGCTAAAGTCACTTCAGCATGAGTTCAATCCCTGCCCGGGAGGTGATCCACATGGCGTGGCAGACCTCTCCTAACCCGCTCGCTGCTCCCCTCACCAATGTACTT